TCATTGACAACGTATTCGTCACCTTAAATTGTTATTATCAAACGAACCAATATAACAATTTTTTTTATACAAAATTTTAAGTGCGCATTAGACCTCTATCTCACCTGACGGAAAGTAGCGATGAGGTCAAGGCCAAAAGTCAAGCTATAACGTTCAGGGAACAAGACTTCAAACAGAGAATTCCTCTACAGAATTAAATTCCATTCCAATTCAATTCTACCCCGATGATGGGAAGAGGAAGGCGGAATTAAATTGTGTAATTTCATCGCACACTCTCCGTGATATATCCTGTAAAATACCAATAAGCAGGCAACTTTACAGCGGTGTTCAAGGCTCTGCACCTTCGTACCTACTAATTCTGAATCACCTAAAAGCCTCTTAAAAGCCGCTTGTCAATTGAATCCAGGGAATGGAATCTATTATCTGGGATCCTAGTGGCGCCACTGACAAGCTGGAAGAGGGTTAGCGTTAATCTTTTCCCATTAACTCTTTTGTGATTAGGACCAAAAGACGAATTTCATATAACTATTAGTATTTCATATATGTATGGTAGTTTATAAAATATTGGGTCTTTGTGACCTGAATGTAAATATATAAATATAAAAATAAGAAATAAGTTTTATTAGTTGTAGTAAATATGAATAATCTCAGTACAAAGTACTAAAAAAACCGACCTCAAAAGTACGTGGAATATATGATGATGAAAAACAGGTGTACTATTTGCCAAGTTTTATTGAAATCGGTGCGCAAACCCGGATTCATCCCCTAGTTCGCCACTATACGGGACTTGACACAGGAGATAATAAAAATCGGTTATCAATACTCAAAGCATATCGAGAGAGAAAAACGCCTTGAATTGGAGAATAGCAAAATCAACCATTTAAATAATTGCTCCTTATAATAAAATTTAGGCACTATTTATAAAAATGAATCTTCATGTGTGGACAGCCATCTTTAGAGGTGGATGATTTTCTTCAAAATTAAATGGGGCCACTTTACCACTATGCCACTACCCTATTTCCAACAAAAAAAATCATCAAAATCGGTTCACAAATACCGGAGTTATCGCGTAACATACATACAAAAAAAAAACATACAGTCGAATTGAGAACCTCCTCCTTTTTTTGAAGTCGGTTAAAAAGAAATACCACCTGATCCTAAGTGACGACGTGATCGATGTTGAAACATGCCTGTTTGGAAAGCACCTATAAATTTTCGCCTGAGCTATTTTCTTGAGCGGAATTGGATGTTGCTACAAATTACGTATAATCAAAGAAGTTACAGTAAATGGTACCTTGCTAAGTGAAGAAAAGCTTTCATAGATGGCGTTACGGCAAAAAAGTCGTTAAAAACCAGAAACAAAGATTTGTAACAAGCGCATGGAAAAATTCGTGAGGCCGTGGTTCGTTCCGTGGCTTAGCTGGCATAGCATTTGGCTCGGTTTGCTAGGAGATGTTGGTTCAAATCCAGCCAGATCGATCTGACTTCGTGTCTAAGTGACAAACTGAATATCCGATCTTTGTTTACTAACTACAACAAACTTGTGGAGTAATTTCACAAAAAAGTAATTGAATATTATGGACCACCATGATATTACACCAGTAACATCCTGACATTCAATAAAACTTAAAAAAAAATTGTAATTATACAATAAAAGAAGTCTTATGCGCTAAACTCTAATAATTATAACTCTCTTTTAAATTTATGTCAAAATACTTTCTATTGAATTTAATAGCAGTAAAGCTCATTGCTAGAGCATGCGTTTTGCCACTAGCTCCTCTGCTATCCTTGATACATCGCTGCCCCAACGAAGTTGTCGCAAAACATCGGTGTTTCGGACTGGGTCGGACCAGCAACATAACAAACAAAACAAAAACTATCGAGTTCTTTGGTTTTCGCGATTTTAATCCGGATTTTAATCGGGTATATTTGTTTTTACACACATAACGTTTCGGACCCTTTACAGATCCCATGGTCACGGTCGACTTGTTTCGGGCCCGTTGCTGGTTCCATGGTCACGGTTGACTTATTTCGGGCCCTTTACAGCTCCCATGGTCACGGTTGACTGCGGAGTCCAGCTTTATTATGCCCAACCTAGTACATTAAGCCAGATTTACATTAGACTGACGTGTCGTGACGCGTTTTTAGACGAAAAAAAGGCAAGTCCACACAATAATTCTATCTATCTAATTATCACTGCTAAGGATGCACAATACGGTTTTTATGAAAATCGATAAGGTACGGCGCAAACGATATAACGATATAAACGATATTTTGTATCGATTTATTGCAAAGCAATAACCATTTTGTAATAATAGCATAATATTTTATATTTCGGGTGCCACGTCGCTCGGTCGCACTACTCCATCCGCTGCCTTCTAGGACCAACCAAGCATCACTTCGCTATCTCTAGGTTGTCAAGAAGTTTTAACGCGCTTGATAAAACAAAAGATGTGTTCAACGATTCGCTCCATGCTTTTAAATCTAAAATACGAATGAATCCATTTGGACGTAACTCATAATGTTTATTTTTCTTTACTTAATATTAATTAGAATATTTTTTTCCGAATTTAAATCGCGTATATTTGTTTTTAAAACAAACCGACGTTTCGGGCCCTTTACAGGTCCCACGGTCACGGTTGACATGGCCATGCGACGTGTAAAGGGCCCGAAACTTGCTTAAATTATCTTTTTGTTTTCTTTGCATGCTGTGGCACCTTCTGGTAGTGCATTTAGAATTAAATGAATTTTTAAGTCTTCATTATTCCCTAGATTTATTGTATCTACCACTGGCTGTCCTTAAATAAATAAATAAATAAGATCTAAGGGGCACTGCCACTGCGCCCGTCTCCCTGATATATAAGTTGACAAGTACCATGTGCATGTAATTCCACAAGCACCCTAACATCCACCCATAAACAAAGTAAAGCTGACATTAATAATTAATGTATTCTTTTTGTTTTTTTTTTGTATAATAATAATAAATTTAGCGTCCGTTTAAGTACTTTTGAATGTTGAGCATAGTTTTAATTGGGCCCGGATATGCCTACTATGTATAATTTTTAAAACCTAATATGTAATAATTTTTAAATGTTTTTTTTATATTATTTGTATCTGATGTCTGTTACAGTGCCATAAAAAAAAAATAAAAAAAATTACTGCTTGGCGGTAGACACCGGTAAGGTTAGTACCTCCCTGGACTAACTCTTTCACAAGGAGCTCTTTTGCAATTGTTAAACGCGGCGTTAACAAAGCGTCGGGCTAAAACCTGAACATTTGCCCATCTCTGGTAATGTCTAATAAAGGCATTCATGAATCAAGTAACGTATAAATGAAACAAAACTATAACTATATAATCTCAGTACAGAGTACTAAAATACGAACCTCAAAAGTACGTGGAATCACGTCTATTTGCTACGTTTTATTGAAATATCCCCTAGTTTGCCACTATACAGGACTTGACACTGGAGATAATAAAATCGGTTCTCACTACTCAAAGTATATTGAGAGAAAAACGCCTTGAATTGGAGAAACAGCAAAATCAACCATTAAAATAATTGCTACTTAAATAAAATTTAGGCGCTATTTATAAAAATGAATCTTCATGCGTGAACAGCCACCCTTGGAGGTTTCTTCAAAATGACACGGGACCACTATGAAAGTACCCCCTTTCCAACAAAAAAAGAATCATGAAAATCGGTTCACAAATACCGGAGTTATCGCGTAAGATACGTACAAAAAAAAGATACCGACAAATTGAGAACCTCCTTCTTTTTTGAAGTCGGTTAAAAATTAACAATGATGATTCATACATTTTTTGGAGTAGTAAAAACAATATAAAACAAAGTAACAGGTCCACTCATCTAGCATGGTAAACAATGGGGCCGTCGAAATGAAGGCCTTTATTAAACTTCCCTATATACAGATAATGAAAAACTTTGTTGACGCCTCTTGTATCGACTCTCGACAAAAATTTGTGTTGTGTAGTATTTTTGAAGGTTTCTTCAAAATAAATAGCTTCTTTGAGGAAAACCGGAGATAAAAGCAACTGTAAGAAATATCGACAATTTTCAGAATAAAACGTCAAACTTGAGAGATCAAACAACCTTAATTTCGTTTGACATTAGAAACATATATTATATCACATTAATACGAAAGATGAAAGAAATATGCATTTAAACATGAAACGATCGTCTTCTTTTTATCGTAAGTAATTATAACTTTTTATCCGAAAAACCGACCCCAAATGTCCGATACCCGTGAAGACCTTGTCAAAAGACTCATTTCAGTTTGTACACTGTTGATGGATTCCTCTCACCTGTCGACCATCACCAATGGCAGACAGATGAAAATGGCAGAAAAATAATATGTTTTGGTGGCTTAGAGCCTCTAAGTCACAAAAATATTTTATTTTCATTGGAATTACATCTTTTTCATCCATTTTTATCTGTCTGCTGAAAATGGCAGAAAAGTAAAATGTTTTGTCATGTTTTGACACCCTTACAGGAATATTTTCTAAACTGTGGACCACTACTGAGGTACCTCCTTTCCAAAAAAAAAGAATCATCGAAATCGGCTAGCAAATGTTGGAGTACAAAAACACACACAAAATACAGTCGAATTGAACCTCCTCCTTTTTTAAAGTCGGTTAAAAAGTGTTCTCTCGTTTCAATGATACTGATTATGATCTTGTTATGACAAGAATAAACAATATCAGGAGTTTATTTATGATCCTCCGTTCCCGTTATTCAACGCATTTAACGCCGCAACGGAAGAGTTAAACAACGGAGCAAATTTTCGTGTATTGCCTCCATAACCACTCTAAATATTATGTGGTCGTGTGAATTACGAATGTTAAAATGTCTATTTTGTTGCAGGTTTGAATTGCCGGTAAAGCCAACTGCTCGTAAAAGCGACGTTCAAAGCTGCTGTTATTTATTTTGTTTACAAAAGAGAAAACCAGCTCGTCCGTAATGAACGGAACAATTCTCAATTACAACATGCTTATCAACAACACAGACAGAAATTCAACACCGGATAGCTTGCTTCCGCCTGCCAACAACATAATCGACAATAAATGGGTTCAAGCTGTCTTTTGCGTCATATACACAATCATATTTGTACTTGGTTTGGTTGGCAACATTCTCGTTTGCTTCGTCGTCATTAGAAACAAAGCTATGCAAACGGTTACCAATTTGTTTATCTCCAACTTGGCCCTTTCAGATATTTTGCTCTGCGTTTTTGCCGTCCCTTTTACTCCACTCTACTCTTTTCGTGGTTCCTGGAGCTGGGGGACCCTCTTATGTCACATAATGCCTTTTGCACAAGGGTGCAGCGTATACATATCTACTCTTACTCTTATGTCCATTGCTATCGATAGGTTCTTTGTAATTATTTACCCCTTTAGGCCCAGAATGAAAATTGAGACCTGCATTTCGGTCATTATAATGATCTGGACCTTCGCTATAACAGTAACAATGCCTTATGCGATATTTATGACTTATTATGACTTGGATATTGGAAGATTCTGCGAGGAAACATGGCCGTCTGAGAAACTGAGGAGATTATTTGGATCGGTGACGTCTATTCTACAATTTGTATTGCCTTTTATTGTGATTGCATTTTGTTATACGTGTGTTAGTTTTAAACTGAACGATAGAGCCAAAGCAAAAGCTGCAAGCAAGAATTCACGAAAGGAAGAAATTGATAAAAGCAGGAAACGGCGAACAAATCAAATGCTCATTGCAATGGTGGCCATCTTCGGTTTTTCGTGGTTACCTTTGAACATTATAAATCTATGTAATGATTACTACATGTACGCTATTCATTACAAGTACTATTTCTTGATATTCTTCACGGTCCATGTCATTGCTATGGCGTCAACATGCTACAACCCTTTTATCTATGCGTGGATGAATGAAAACTTCAGGAAGGAGTTCAAGCAGCTAATTCCATGCATTGATTCTTCAGCAAATATTCGTGGCCATATTCAATTGCAGCAACTAGGGGTAGGTCCTTCCGAAAAGACGTTTAATGGGAACACGACAACAGACAGCTACTTGGGATCGAGCTCTCAGAGGTCGACATCGTTTAGGCATAAAAGAAAGCCAAGTGCAGCAGCAGATGTGGAGAAAAGTGGCGTAGAACTGAATGAAGACTTGTTGATTGACGTGAAACATTGTCACATTTCGACGAGCTATAATTTGAGGAGGGAGTCTGTGAAGCTGAGGCTGATTAATGAGGAGTCATTTGATACTGCTGGCAATCAAAGTCAATTCTAACAGTTGATGTCCCGGGTAAGTTTCTATTATAAGTTGCTTAAGTTTTGACGAAAATTGGCTAGAAGGACATTTTTGATTAAAATTATCAACGACTATCGACCACCTAAGAAAGTGCCATTACTGTAGAAGCTTGTAATTTTTATAATTTTTAGACGTGCGTCCGACCAATTACTTGGTTCCTAGACTTCTTAACAAGCTACCACTGTATGTTAAACGAAAAATTAATCAAAAACAATATAAAATATATTTACCATGAATTTTTTTTTTCTATCTGTAACTTAGTAACACCATATTCAAGTAAAATTTTCATAATCTGCTTCTATATAACATAATAATAATAATTTTTTAGTATATATTATTATCTTCGTTTTTTTCTTATGAGTACTTAATCCATGCGTAGTAGTGGCACATTATTTATGTTGATTTCGAACAGCCTGTATGCGCGCGTATAGCGCTGAGGAGTAGAACTGGTTTCTTTGGTGCCTTTTGTAACTTTTTGTTAATATTTATTAAATATGTTGTATCTTCATTATGTTTTTTTCGTACATTGTTTACATTTAATAAAATCATTATTTTACATATCATGTTAGAGGAGTTGCAACATTCATACTAATCTGTTTAGGTTTAAGAGTGTAAATTAAAACCGTGTAAATGTTTTTGTAAGCGTTAAACTAATTTAAAAAAAAACGGAAATTCATGACGCGATTATACTGCTGTTTTTAAATTTGTGACGTAAAGATTTATGTTTATGCAATGCACACTATTGCATAACCACAATATTGGTGTCCCCGTACTAATTTTACAACACGAATAATCTAAATTTCTGTGAAATTCCATAAGTTGATGAAAAAGGATTAATTTCAATGATAAGAATTTATGTTCATAAATTTCTGGTTGAATATGACTAATATAAAAAAATGCCTACATTTCTATTTCTGTTGTTGATTCTATTTTAAATTTATTCACCAAAATGTGCAGTTGAGATGCAAAGCTTCAGCCGTAATCTTCTAAAGGCTTTTGGAAGTTAGCCAAACTTCACGAACTCTGGTATAACATTTTAAGCAGCGAGAAATTAAGATTGGAACCCTAAAATGCCAAAAGCTCGGTGGACAACAGGCTGTTGCAAAAATTTACGATAGACATTGATTTATCACACTAGGTTTTTCTTTTCTATTGACAGTAGCAAATAGCTTCTTAAGTCAATGAAAATTCATTTAATCTGCCTCCAGTGACGTGATCTTTTATAATTAATTTCGTTATTACTAAGGAACTAATTATGCAGCTAAGACAATTTTTAGAACAGATTAATTATATTCGCAGGTGCGGCGATGGAGACGCTCCCAAACTTGAAAACAGAATGGATAATTTGAAAATCACCCAATATTTTTGGAGTATATTTTTTGTACGAACGACGTCTTCTACTATGCACGTTTTCTACTAAATAACATCAATACGCTTATGAAGTTACTAACCTTTAGATATATTGTGATATTTATTTCTTTTTGATACCTACCACTTTTGGATCGCAAGATTTTTAAACGGACTGTATTATAAATGACTACTATATATATCGAGTTCTTAGGTTTTTGCGACAGTTATACATTGGAGATGAAACATTTTTTTCGGATCTATATTTTTTTTCAAAAACGTTTTGGGCCCTGATCCCTTCTAGTAATGGGCCCTTTACGTTCCATTGTCACGAGTGACCATAGACACACATTATGTAATTATCTACTCTCTCGAAAATTATCGATAACATATATGTGCATAAAATTTGTTTGATTTAACGTTGGCAGATAAAAAAGTCTTGCGAACCAACGGTCAGATTCTTAAAATTAATATACCCAAGCACAAACCTGCTCTTTAGCAACACTGCCACCTTTGTACCTTATATCCAAGTAGCAATTATCAATACAGGCTGTTAAAAAATACTAGTGACATTTTGGATTACGACTAAGTATCGATTTATTATTCCTATACATCAAAACTTGATTAACTTTATTTGTTTTCTCTAATCTATATTCAATAATTACCAAAAATTTCACCAGTATTTTTTTACACTTTCAATGCAGTTGGCTGCAAAATATTTAAGAGGTTATTTAGTATTCAAAACAAATGAAGATTTTACAGGAAAAAGCAAAAAAAATCCAACAAACTTGGTAATTGTATTGAGTTCTTTTATTATTGCTTTTTATTATTATTATTTTCAATAAAAAAATAATCAGCCGATGTAATGACAACAACCTCACAGGACTTTTCAATCCAAACTACTTTTAGTAGCAGTAGAGCTCCTTGTGAAAGAGTTCGTCCAGGGAAGTACTGTCACCTTACCAATTTCAGCCGCCAAGCAGTAATGTCAGCGTTACTGTGTTCCAGTTTTGAAGGATAAGGGTGCTGGTGAAATTACAGGCACATGGGACTTGTCAAATTAATATGTGTCAGGGTGACAGGCGCAGTGGTAGTGCCCTTCAGTTCTTTGCGATTTCAAGCTTTGAGTGGCAGTGTAACTGTTATGGACTGGCGTGTAGCTTACCTTCAGGCGCACGACTTGTTCGTCCCGTCACTGGAAGTTATAATAAAAAAATCTCCAATACACCCTCTCAACTGGTAACTTTCGAGATGTTGACACCTAACGCTGAAATAACGCTGATTTTACTCAACAATAAAACTGAAACGAAATAAGATGTTAAAAAACCGATTAAAGAGGGTTGTAGATCTCGCTTTGCTAATTCCAGATACGTTAATAATCTCAATTTTGGTAAAAATGTCTATTACGTTAGTTATGATATGGAGAGTAGTGACATAATACCCATATAGATTTGTTTAAGGTTCAAGGTCTAACGCACATGGTTACAAAATAATAGTAAAAAAAAATGAGTCAGCTGTGTTATTATATGGAGCCCAAAACATTCGTTTGTGTAAAAAAAAAAAACAAATATTCGCGACTTAGTTCCGAAAAAATAGTTTTATTTCCAAAATGGTTGGTTTTTTACGGAATTTTTTAATTTTTTTCAACTTTAATTTATATTTTATGAAATTGATATCTGTTTAATATACCATTGTCCCTTTAAAGTCTTGCAGTCGGCTACCTAACCTGTATACGTACTTTCGAGTGAAAATTCTAGTCTTTTTATGTTTCTTATTAACTACAATTTTCACAGAAATGTCGATGGATAATATATTGTTTTATGTAATATTCGTTGAAATTGTACGTTATATACCTTAATATTTAGGCTGTATATTTGAAAGTGGGACATACTTATAGAGTGCGTTATATTCCTGATTTTGAAGACAAAAAAGATTAATGAACTTAAACTTTACAAAAAAATATTTTTTAATGTTTTTTATCGAGTACTACTTGTGAACAACATTAGTTCTCGATATCTATGCACATCACTATTATTGCTCCGACGCAACGGCGAGCTGCGGCACGGCGGCGAAAATTTGTGACAGTGCACGCGACCTTGGTCTAGCGAAGATACGTATTATTTGTACTTCCGCTCTCTCGCGCAAAATAGATATTTATTCTAACGTCGAATGGATTGAGATGGTGCGACTTTACGCAATAAGTAGTGATAGTGTGAGACGAGCTATTAAAATGTTCCCAAATCGGAGTTTTACGCGGAGGATGTGAACAGTGTCGAAGTGTTGCATGAAAGGATTATCTCAGCATTTTATACTGTGAAACAAAATGTGTATGCGTTGAACAATTTAAAACAAAATTTTCCAAGACGTGCTAGACTATGCATTATGGAAAACGGTGGACATTTTGAACACTTGCTCCGTACCACGTAAGTGTAAAAAACTGTAAAGAACTAAAAAATCAATCATTGTATATAATTTGATTTCACATTTTTAACTACGCCAAAAACCTCAGTTCTTATTAAATGATAATTAGTTACTAAATCATAAACTTATCTTTTTTAGTACGTAAAACATTTAGACGATAGTTCAGAAGTAAAAAATAATTAGCATAAGCTAAAACGTAATCAAAACATAAATATGCGTAGGTGAGTAACTTAGTTTTTATTTTCTAGAGAAAAGAGGTGCTTTTAGTAGGAAGGGAGATGTAAAATCATTGTTATTGTTGCTGTCTCACTCGTCGCTCGCTGGGTAGCATTCCCATTGCACTCGAAATCAAGCGTAAAGGGAATCGGTTTATTCCTATGTACACTTCAAAACAAAATTGTTGATTTATATTTTGTTCTATCCCATATCCTAATTTTATTTTAGGCTATATTAAGTTGTAACATGATTTACTATGACATGTATGAATATGTCTCACTTTCAAATATACAGCCTGTATATTGACTTATTTGTAAAATACTAACAACCTAGCAGGACTACATTACTAACCAAACAACAACTTTTCTTTTATGATTTTTTTACAAAACGTAATTATATCAAAATCAAACTTTTAAGTTCACGTTGTACTATCTGATATATTTTTAGATCTGTATTTGTTAGTAATATTAGCATTACTGCGTTTCGGTTTTGAAAAGAAAAAGTAAATATCAATATTTTAGTATAAAATCTGTTGAATTATTAACTTGTCACTCGTTCAAGAGATGTTGGTACTGTAGCGCCTTAAAACCACACGGAGTCTCGTGCAGTTGTGTTATCGTCCACCATTAACAAAAAAATTATAGAAGTAATTAATTCTTTTTTATATTTTTTTTTTTACAAAATGGTTAATGTCACCGTGTGTTTCTAGAACTCATGACGGGTTAAATGTTCTAGAACCAAAGTTGCTATTTATGACATAAGTAATATAGTCCTGTGAGATTGTATTTTAAAAATAATCATGTATAAGGGATGAATTAATTGTAACGGAAAACGCGAATCGTTATTTTTCCAGCCATTGAATATGTAATTACATGTTGGTTGAACGCTTTATAGTGCATCGACCAATTTTACTCGAAATCATCATTTCATTATTATTCAGTAATTGTAAGTAAATACTACGTTTTTCCGAACTGTACCTTGTATTACTTATTATAAGCGGTAGTAATTTTTAATATTCTATTTTGTAAAAACATACCTTATTATTATTATTATTGATACAAAGATGTAGCAAACACAAAGAATAATTAATTATAGTAGCAATAGAGTTCCGCCAAGCAGTAATATCAGCATTACTGCGTTCCGGTTTTGAAGGGTAAAGGCGCGTTCCCGTTATGTCGTTTTATTTATCGTTGTCGCGTCAAGCCTGTTCCCAAATCACGACAGTCGTGACTGTGTCGTGGACGTTTATTTCATCCTTGAACGACTGTCGTGTCTAGCTGTGCCCATTAGATCGTGACGACAATTTATCGATTTACGGCAGCCGCCTTGTCGTTTGCACGACAGAATCGTTTGCGGCTGCGATTATGTGTCGTCACATATTTATCGTGACGTTTTATTTATCGTCCAACGACTGTCGTTCTAGCTCTTCCCATTGTTATGACAATGTGTCGTCATAACGTCAAAATGTATTGAAAGACAGTTAATCGTGCTGTTCTATGTGTGCACAACTTTATTTAAATATACAAGCCACGATTATCTGTAGTCACGACATAATGGGAACACGCCCTAAGAGTGCTGCTGATATTACACGCACATGGGATTTGTCAATTTATGTCTCAAGGTGACGGGCGCAATGGCAGTTCCATTCAGATCTTTGTCCTCACCAGGCGCAGTACTTGTTCGTTCCGTCACTTGATATAAAAAAAATAATCCAGCCTGCGTCTGTTGTCTCAACGTGACCACGATTTGACTTCGGATCTAAGGATTTTTTCTTTGTGTTTGCTGAATCTGTGTATCAGTAATATAAAAAAAACTAGTGAAACATTGCCATAAGAAATAAATTAATATTATGATAATAAAAACATCATGATTTCAATAAAAATAAAATATAATGTAATTTATTTTTATGAGAAAAAAAATCCTTGAAGGTAATAATAATTTCATCGAATAAAAACTTATGAACTATAATGTTATGGAAACATAATACCTATTTTATTTATGTAAAATTATTGTGTGTGAAATTGAAATTATATGCTATGATAAATCTCCAAATTAGATTGTATATAGTGTAGGAAAACAGGGAATAAACGTTTTGTATGGAATCTATGTATTTGTATGATGCTATGGATTTTATATGGAGCAAAGCAGGAACTGTATGGATGGAACTGTAAGTTTTGTACAAAAGCACAAAAGTGTCAAAATTAAATGTGAGTCAATGTTAACCAATACGATTGAAGTTTACATTGGAATAGGTTAAGTGTACTATATGTATAATGTTAGGTTACAACAACAAGACAATTAAGTTATACTAACGTAAAAGCTACCATGAACTCTCTATTATGATGATATTATGATAAGAATTCACATGTAAATTATGAAGTCCTATGCACAAAACTATTTAGAAGTTATTAAACATATGGAGTGAACTTAATTGCGTTATATCGAAAAACGGGTGACTTACGTATTGATATGAACTACGAGTAACTTTTTTGTATCTTATGAAAACGCGATAAAAAATCAGCTGATTCATGTAACCCTCCTCCACTGATTAACTATCGTAACTAATTTGTTATAATTATTAATACAAAGATCGAACACTCAGAAAAAACACTCAGAAAAAAATCCTTTGGTCCGTAACTAACATTAGGTGAATTTTACCAG